GCTGAAAGATAGACAGGAAACGGGGGCAGAGAAGGGAAGACACGCAGCAAAGGGCCGCAGGTTCGGATGTCTCTACCCACTGAGCTAAACGGGCAACCTGATATCACTTTTTGACAAGGTATTGACAAGTACTTGACTTTTCAGGGACTGGACTACCTCAACACTAAATCTAAGATCATCCACACTGACACTGTGACTCGGACTCGTTGACTCGGACTTGTTGACTCAAACTCGTTGACTCAGACTCGCTGAGTGACTCGGCTGTGTTGTTACAGGTGCTGCAGGGTCTGGACTACCTCCACACTAAGTGTAAGATCATCCACACCGACATTAAGCCAGAGAACATCCTATTGGACGTTGACGAGGTTTACATCAGGAGATTGGCGGCTGAGGCGACCATCTGGCAGAGAGCTGGAGCCCCGCCCCCTTCTGGGTCATCAGGTGAGGAGCTATGTGATTGGTCAGAGAACAGGAAACAGTGAATGTTTGTTCTGTGATGGACAGTGTTGGTGTGTTTGTGATCAGACATGTTAAAAATAAATAATATCAATAACATATTGATCACATATATAAATATTGATGAAGGAAATAACGAGGTGATATTTAATCTGGAGCACATGAAGATATCAGTTGGCATACTGCGTGGAGGAACTGATCAGTTAATCAATCAGATCAGATTATAGATGATCTGGAGTCAGACAGCAGTGTTACTGGGAGCTGTGGTTTCCACTCTATCTGTCTGTCTGCTTTCTAAACTGTCTCCTTTTCTTCCTCTGTCTGTCTCTCTGCCTGTCTGTCCTCTGTCTTTATTTCCTGTTTCTGATGTTTTCTTCCTGTCTCTCTCTCTCTCTCCCTGTCTGTCTGGCTCTATGTGTCTCTCTCTCTCTCTCTCTCTCTAGTTAGCATGGCTCCCAGGGATGTACAGGTAAGTGTCCAGGTGTGAAGCCTGCTGTGTTGTCATTGGTTGCTGCTGGTCCAGGTGTCTTTAACCTGCAGTGAGAAGCTGTGATCTGATTGGATAGTTGCTCACTGTGATGTAACATCAGTTAGTTGCATGTGACTGTGAGGTAAACACTGGGGGTGTCCGTCTGCCTTTCTGAGAGGATCCAATAAGTATCCGGATACCTGGGCTACGATTCAGGGCCATTTTAATCTGGAACAGTCTAATGCAGTTCTTTACATTTGTTAAATGTAGACATGCATTTTACATTCTAAAATAAAGTAAGACAATTCTATAAAAGTGACATTGTTCACCTTCAAATACATATATTTTATGAAATACCAAGTATCTTTTTCTTTTTAGGAAAAAACTGAAGACTGAATTATAGTCATTGTATTTGTTGCTTTTCCAACAGACAGACAGACTTCAGTGATTACCTTCGACCTCGCCCAGTTGGAGCTCAGTTGTGGCTAGAAAGGATTTAGAACGCAAAATGCGTGTTCTTGCTTGTGCTAGCTGTGTTAGCATCCAAAGACTCCTCGTCTCCTGTGTAGGTGTTACCGTGCCGTCTCAACAGGTGTTTTTGACTTTTCTCCAACTTTCCTTCCTTCTTATAGTATCCAAATGTCTTCCAAACTTTAGATTTTAGATTTGATGGTGAGCCATGCTGTGTTTAGCGTTCTTTTGTCACTCTTGTGGTGAAACGTTGGCGTTGACCTTTGACCTTTCCGGAGAGTGGAGACACTGTTAGCAGCAAAGTTTCAGTCCACAATTCATAATTTTTTTTTATCTGACATCAAGCGGTTGGGTAAATTTACATCCATTCAGGTGTCGGCGTACCGATGCAGTCGCATCTGTAACGTTAATACTGATTTCTGACTTGTATCAGTGACTCTATACACCCCAGTGTCAGTTATACACAACGACACTCACCTGCAGCAGGAAGTGTGTTCAGTAGTGTGTAGTGTCAGTAACACAGTTGTTGGGTGTGTGTGTGTGTGTGTGTGTGTGAGCATTTAACAACTGGTTGATGTGTAGAAATTCTTCTGTCTGTTTGTGGCGTCTGTCTGTCTGTCGTAGGTCGGTAAACTGTCT